CCTTAGCATAAAAAATGACCCCATAGCATTAAAAATGTGCCTACATTTTCATTTCTCTTCTCTTTATTTTGTTATTTTGTTCTCAAATGCGCTGCACCTCGGCTGTCGAAGCAAAACTCTATAAGGAACTGTTTTTGACTAGTTTAAGGCAGATACAATATTCAAAGCCCAGTAAAATCTCCACAAACATGCTTGTTTATCCAGCAATAGATTGTGAAATTCAGTCATAGAATAGAGGAGATATTATAGTTTTACTCCTTGTATCTAGGCCAAAAGACAGAAGAAGAGGCCACAGAGCGCCCTTAGCATACACAGTGGACACTGAACCACTTTCTCACTTTCACTTTCAAGTTAAACTTTCAGTGATTAAGAAGAAACAAAAAAGGTCCCCTAATCACTATTCCCTACCTTAAAACACTATATAGAACACTATCATAGGGAACACTAATATAAGGAACAGAAATGGCCTTAATCACTATTCCCTACATTGGTGCACTATATAGAACACTATTAAGGGAACAGAAATGACCCCTAATCACTATTCTCTACATTGGTGCACTATATAGAACACTATTATAGGGAACAGAAATGGCCCCTAATCACTATTCTCTACATTGGTGCACTATATAGAACATTATTAAAAGGAACAGAAATGTCCCCTAATCACTATTCTCTACATTGGTGCCCTATATAGAACACTAATATAAGGAACAGAAATGGCCCCTAATCACTATTCTCTACATTGGTGCACTATATAGAACAATATTAAAGGAACAGAAATGGCCCTAATCACTATTCTCTACATTGGTGCACTATATAGAACAATATTAAAGGAACAGAAATGGCCCTAATCACTATTCTCTACATTGGTGCCCTATATAGAACACTATTAAGGGAAAAGAAATGGCCATAATCACTATTCTCTACATGGGTGCACTATATAGAACACTATTAGGGGGAACAGAAATGGCCATAATCACTATTCTCTACATTGGTGCCCTATATAGAACATTATTAAAAGGAACAGAAATGGCCCCTAATCACTATTCTCTACATTGGTGCACTATATAGAACATTATTAAAAGGAACAGAAATGTCCCCTAATCACTATTCTCTACTTTGTTGCACTATATAGAACACTATTAAGGGAACAGAAATGGCCCCTAATCACTATTCTCTATATTGGTGCCCTATATAGAACACTATTAAGGGAACAGAAATGGCCCCTAATCACTATTCTCTACATTGGTGCACTATATAGAACGCTATTATAAGGAACAGAAATGGCCCCTAATCACTATTCTCTACATTGGTGCACTATATAGAACAATATTATAAGGAACAGAAATGGCCCCTAATCACTATTCTCTACATTGGTGCCCTATATAGAACATTATTAAAAGGAACAGAAATGGCCCCTAATCACTATTCTCTACATTGGTGCACTATATAGAACATTATTAAAAGGAACAGAAATGTCCCCTAATCACTATTCTCTACATTGGTGCCCTATATAGAACACTAATATAAGGAACAGAAATGGCCCCTAATCACTATTCTCTACATTGGTGCACTATATAGAACATTATTAAAAGGAACAGAAATGTCCCCTAATCACTATTCTCTACATTGGTGCCCTATATAGAACACTAATATAAGGAACAGAAATGGCCCCTAATCACTATTCTCTACATTGGTGCACTATATAGAACACTATTACAAGGAACAGAAATGGCCCCTAATCACTACTCTCTACATTGGTGCCCTATATAGAACACTATTAAGGGAACAGAAATGGCCCCTAATCACTATTCCCTACATGGGTGCACTATATAGAACACTATTATAAGGAACAGAAATGGCCCCTAATCACTATTCTCTACATTGGTGCCCTATATAGAACACTATTATAAGGAACAGGAATGGCCCCCAATCACTATTCCCTACATTGGTGCCCTATATAGAACACTATTAAGAGAACAGAAATGGCCCCTAATCACTATTCTCTACACTGGTGCCCTATATAGAACACTAATATAAGGAACAGAAATGGACCCTAATCACTATTCTCTACATTGGTGCCCTATATAGAACACTAATATAAGGAACAGAAATGGCCCCTAATCACTATTCTCTACATTGGTGCCCTATTTAAACATTATTAAGGGAACAGAAATGGCCCTAATCACTATTCCCTACATTGGTGCACTATATAGAACACTAATATAAGGAACAGAAATGGCCCCTAATCACTATTCTCTACATTGGTGCCCTATTTAAACATTATTAAGGGAACAGAAATGGCCCTAATCACTATTCCCTACATTGGTGCACTATATAGAACACTAATATAAGGAACAGAAATGGCCCCTAATCACTATTCTCTACATTGGTGCACTATATAGAACACTAATATAAGGAACAGAAATGGCCCCTAATCACTATTCTCTACATTGGTGCCCTATATAGAACACTATTAAGGGAACAGAAATGGCCCCTAATCAGTATTCTCTACATTCTCTAAAGAAGTAGCACTATGAAGAACACTGTTCCAGGTAACAGAACTGGTCCTATTCTCATATTTAAAAAGGTTAAGGAACACTACACTCTTAAAAAAATGGTTCTTCAAGGGTTCTTCAGATTGTTGGAAAATATGTTGTACAACTTATAAAACATGGCAACAGTGGAACCAAAGGTACCTGGAGATACTGCAAGAATCTATAACCTAAGAGATAAGCACCACAGTATAGCTTGATCTATGTAAATACATACATACATACATACATACATACATAAATACATACATACATACATAAATAAATAAATAAATAAATAAATAAGGGGAATTAATAAGTGCAGCTTGCATTTTTCTCACTATATTCATACTATTTGCTAATGTACAGTATATAGTGAATAGGACATAGTTCCAGACCTTACACATTATCAGCCATTATAAAGTTCTCCTGAAGATGTATGAACATTGTGGTGGTTTGGTTAACCTATAACAGCAAATATAAAGTTATGTTGAAAGTTTGTCAACATCTGTGTATCATTTACAAAACTATATCAATAGCTAAGAACGACTTTGTTTACATTTCAACAATTGAATTATGGAGAAATTTTGAAAAAATTGGTGAAATTCTCCTTTAAAATTTCAGACATGAACATAAACAGGTTAATAAAGTGGCCATGTGATTGCGTGATCTCAAAAAGTTCAGTGAAGATGGGTTTCCAGCTGAGAAGCAGGGCAACATTTTGTTCAGGGTGAAAAGGGCCTCATGCTCATCTACAAGAAGGGGATGAGCTACACTTCCCAAGTGTGACGTGTGTGTGTGTGTGTGTGTGTGTGTGTGTGTGTGTGTGTGTGTGTGTGTCTGTGCGAAAGAGAATCTGTTACGGTTCAAGTTATCGGCACTTAAACAGGATATGTATGCTTGAGCAAACAGATCACATTTAAATATTCACACAGGAATCACACAAGCATGCTTTCCAACATGGCCATACCCCCACACCCCCCACCCCGACCCCGCACAGAGGCACAAACACACTGTAAACAGTCTTTAACAGTAATGTACAGCATTAAGTAATATTCTTATATGAATCTCTTTGTGCTGTTGCCAAAAGTCAAACGCATCTTAAAGGGGAAATCCACTGCTTTATCATTAGGTGGTATCACAGTGGTGGTGATAGGAACCAGACATCCACCTCTAAAAGCTCCCTCACAGAAAGTTATTATGCGATGTGGTTATGAATGCAATGCCTGATGTAGGTTTGATGAAAGCTTTTTGCATTTAACATAAATTGTTTAAATATAATCATGGCGGAGAGGTATGTGCAGGGCACTACAAGGCAAAATAAAGCAAATGAAATGCCTATATCAAACCACTCTCAATGACTTCTTGACCTTTGGATTATGTAGAAAATTTGAAACGTTGGTGGATTTCCCCTTTATATCAATTCGCTTGTAACATAGATTCATGATGTAAGTGTGTGTTTGAAGTATCCTCTTTTATTTATTTACTTGTGTGTTTATTTATTTGGTTGGGGGCTGCAACGTGTTGTAGGTGATCTGTATTATTGTTTAAAATAATGAATAATGCAAATTAATATTGTGTGGAAATTTCGAAAAGTCAGTGGAATTCCCCTTTAAGTAAATCCCTTGTGACATAAATTCATGATTTAAGTGTGTGTTTGAAGTACCCTTTTTTATTGATTTCTTTGTTTGTTTATTTATGTAGTTGGGGCTGCAAGTGTGACCTGTATTGTTGTTTAAATTAATGAATAAAATAATATTATACAGAAATTTTGAAAAGTCGGTGGATTTCCCCTTTATAGCAATTCACTTGTAACACAGATTCATGATTTAAGTGTGTGTGATTGAAGTATCCTTTTTTAATTATTTACTTGTGTGTTTATTTATTTGGTTGGGGATGCAAAGCATTGTAGACGGCCTCTATTATTATTCAAAATAAGGAATAATCTAAAATAATATTATATAGAAATTTTGAAAAGTCGGTGGAGTTCCCCTTCAAGAAAGTCCCTTGTCGCATAGATTCATGATTAAAGTGTGTGTTTGAAGTACCCTTATTTATTTGTTTGTTTGTTTGTTTGTTGATGTAGTTGGGGCTGTAATGTATGGCCTGTATTATTGTTTAAAATAATGAACAACCTTAAATAATTTTATTTTCCTTTATTGCCAATAAACTTCAAAGTAATAAACACATTATGATTGTTTTTTTTTTCCGTGAAAAGTGAAGGTTAAAAAAGTGAAAAACACAAGCGGGCTGACGTGCAGCCTTTCGCGAGGACGCTGATTGGCTCGTCGTCGACGTCACCGCCCCGGTCTCCATGGCGACGGCGCGTCGAGTAAGTACGGTACGGCACGGCGTGTTTGACGCTGCCTGCGTGACCCCGCCCACACTCGCGCACAGGCCACGCCCACCCCGTCCACCTCCTCCCTCTCCTCCTCCTCCTCATGTGGGCGAAACACGACACCAGGGTGAGTGAGTGAGAGAGAGAGAGCTAGGGAGAGAGTGAGTGAGAGAGTGAGTGAGTAACGCTAGTTGCGGACTGTGGAGACTGTGGAGGGGTGGAGGAAGAAGAAAAGGAGAGGGAAAAAGAAGAAAAGAAAAGTCGGTAGGGGAGCTTTTTTGAGACGAGAGAGATGCGAAAATGTTAGAACAAACGACAACAAGCAGAACAACAAGTCGCGGAACCGGGCGCAACACTGAGCGAGAAGCTCGGCTTCCTCGGCCGGGACGGCGCTGATCTGATCGGGACTCGGGGCTGAGCAGCAGCCGTGTGGGGAGCCTCCGGATCAACTTCCACTCTCCAAAACTCTGCTGTTGGGGAGGGGGCGTGTGTGTGTGTGTGTGTGTGAGGGAGAGGAAACGAGGAGGAGGAGGAGGAGGAGGAGGAGGAGGAGGGGGACGACGGCGGCGACGACCCACCCGGCGACTGTAGGTTAGCGTTACCGGAGGCTGGAAGTTGTCAGCGAGACGTTTGAAGTGAAAGTTTCGGCGTGTTGTTGTTTTGTCTTCAGCGCCGCTGCTGCTCCGGGACGCCTCTCTCTCTCTCCGCTCTACACCCCAGCCTGCTAACTAACAGTTACACAACTTTCAAAGATGAAAACCCCGGGGGACTCGGGTAAGTTCAGCCCCAGACCTTCCTTCATTATGAATCGAAACGTTGTTGTTGACACTCGCTTAGCTGCTTAGCTAGCCCAGCCGTTTCGGTTCCACACTGCAGCCGAGCCGAGCAGTTCACATTAGCAACAACTTCGGCCCTGCTTCGATTCAAACGACACGGCCAAAACAGGTTAAAACGGACACAGCGGCCGTATTTATGCTTCTTTCGGACGTGTTTTTTATCTGCGAGAGCAAAAGTGGTCGCAAACTTGTCACGAAGTCTTCTCGTTCGCCAGCTTCTTGTTCGAATTTTTCCGTTCCACCTTAAATGGTGAGGCGCCAGAATGTAACTGCTGCACCATTTAAGGTGGAACGGGAAAATTCGACCAAGAAGCTGGCGAATTAGGAAAACTTGTCTTACTTTTCTTGTTTATCCAGGGTTTCGGAGTAACTAGACATGTGTTGAGTGTAGATTTGGGCACTTAGCTGGTGCCATTGGCTGGATTAGGATAAAAATATGACAGACAACCTGCACTATTCTCAAAACCCGCCTCCAGCCAAGTGAGCAGAGTCTCATGTCAGGTCAGTCAGTCTTAAAGGAGAATTCAGATTTCAAAATGGACGCATGATTCAATCACTGAGATGTAAACAGAGTTATACAGAGTGGTTTGGAGTGAAACGGTTCGTTGTAGGGACAGTGGTGGTGAACGGAACCAGGGAGTCGCCATGCCCACAAGACGAATATAGCCATTTTATTTACTACCCAGAAGCACCAGTGAACGTACACGTGTGTTAATATGTATTAGTGATAAATCTGGAAACAAAAAGTTTTATTGGGGGTCTACTTTTCCTTATAACAACCCTACACCACCACGGATGGACCTCAAAAAGTACACCGTAGCCTCAGAACTATTATAGAACCATGTCTCATGCTGTTCATAACTATGTCATGTGGCTTAATAACTTCCTGTGAGGGAGCTTTTAGAGGTGGACGTCTGGTTCCTATCACCACCACTGTGAATAGTTTTGATTCGGTAAGTTTGTCTAGAACGGAGCATTTCACACCAAACCGCCCTGAATGACTTTTTCCACTTCTCAGCCTTTGACTTATGGAGGAATTTTGGAAAGTGGGTGGAATTCCCCTTTAAAATGGCAGGCGCTCTGCTTTATTATTGACTTTGTGGTTGAGTTGAGCTCAGATGAGTTACAGCAGCAGAAATGTTGGCGGTTGGCCGGTGGCACGGTTCGTAGAGTTAGCCTAGTCTGGGCTGCTACCTGTTGAGTCTGTTGGAACGGGTTATACACGCTGTGAAAATGGTGACCGACGTGTGGCGGTTTGTTTTTGTTTGTTCGCGCTCTCGCGAACATTTTCGCCCGCGTGAGTGGCTGTGGAGCGAGCGCGAGCTCTGGATAGATTCGAATTCCAACCGTCAGCTAACGAACTAGCGTTATTTCGGCCACTTTTTCTCTGAGGGGCGGCTGTTTTACCCCAGTTTTCTACATTATTCTCGCAAAGTTTCATATTTAAGCACTTTCTCGTCTCCGTTTGAGCCTTTTTATCGTGACGTTTAACGTCCTCGTCGAATTTTTTGACGGTGACGCGCGTTAAGTTGTCTTCAGGTTTAGTCAGGCTAGTTACATTAAAGGGTAACTCTATCGACTTATCAAAATTTCTGCATGATTAAGAGGTTAAGATGTGAACAGAGTCATCCAGAGCGGTTTGGTGTAAAACGGTTCCTTCTGGAAAAACTTGCAGAGTCAGAATTGTTCACAGTGGTGGTGATAGGAACCAGACGTCTTGAAACGTTTTTAATGCTTCTGAAAGCTCCCTTACAGAGAAATATTACACGAAATGGTTATGAATATGTTGCCTGATGTCTGACACATTGCTTTATGATAGTTTTGTGACACAGTTTTGGCTTGAAATGTATTTTAATACGCTTATTTTGACCCATTCATGGTGGAGGTTGTGAGGCAAAATAGTCCCCAGTGCAGTTTTTTGTTTCTAGATTTACCCCCATCATCAACAACACGTATAAACTTACACGTTTACTGGTGGTTTTGGATAGAAAATAAAGTAGCTATGTTTGTGTGGTAGACAACATGATCTCTGGTTCCTATCACCACCACTGTGAGTCTCTACAATCTCAACCATTTCACACCAAACCACACTCTGAATGACTTTGTTAACATCTCAGCCACACAGTTCCCCTTTTTATCCCAAGTGTACCACTTTACAGTCAGACTATCCTCATTAAGATGGTTTAATCTGGTATAGATGGTTAAAAGTACTTCTAGTTGTTATTAATGAAGTCCTAAACACCTTAAAAGCATTAATAAGCAGTTATAACACATACATAAAAAGGGCAACAGTGACCTGTTGCTTGCCAAATACTGAGCCTACATTCATCTACACTGTTAAACCTCAGATCTTGCCGGTTGCTTATCTTACCTTATCTTCTTCATCAACATATCTGTCAGTTTTGTCACTTTCATTTTCATCGGATGTAAGAGCTCAACGTTGCTCTGTTTTAGTTGCATGTAGGACCTGATTACTAAGGTTTAAAGGTGTTCATGGCCTAATTAATAACCATCTTTTAACTGTTCATAATCCTTTATAAAGGTAGTGTTATTGTAAAGTGATGCCGTTGATCCCAAGGACACGTTTAACATCCAGAGTTTACTTCTTTAAGATTGGAGCTACAGGCTTTATGTAGCAGACATGTAATGGGAGTCTGTGTCACCCAAAATAATAACTTCTGTTAACCTCATAGCTCATCATGTCTTTTTGTGGGCCGAGGGCCAATATGACAAGTAAAGAAATGCTATTTTATAGCATCATGCTATAGTTTTTGTCATTAAAAGTACATTTTAAAATGACGATAAGAGAAATACAGCTTCTTTTGTCTCATTGCATAAAGAGATATGGGGTTTGGGCAACTTCTGGTGGGCCCGATCACCCTTGGGTCAGCCGGGGTCTTGGTGTGTATTAGTATTTCCCAACTTCAGTCTAGCAGCCCTGCACAGTTGTGTGTTTTCCCTACACCCTGATCACTGAATCATATCATTATCTAGCCCTCGAGCCCTTCTTGACTTAAATTAGATGTGTTGGAGCTGGAAAAACAAGAAACTGTGCCATGCAGGTGGGACTAAATGACTGGAGTTGGGAAACAGTCAAGTTTTGTCTAGGCAGTTTAATCAGGAACTCTAGACTGGAGGGGGGGGTTGAGAACTTAACCCCTTGAACTTTAGAGGCCTGTCTGTGGAGCCGCATAGTAGTAACTGAGTAATTACCGGTAGATTTTGTTTGACAGTTATATAAAATACATATAAGACTGCATTCATACAGAATCTTACAAGCATTTAAGAATTGTCGAGGTTGAAAACACAGTAAAGTCCCAGGCTTGTGTCCATTATAGTCTCCAAAAAAAGTAACTTTACAGGAGAAGGCAAAAACGCTCTTACCTTTCAATGTAAGTCAATGTAAAGAGACTTTATTCCAAGTGATTTTAGAGCATTTCCACTGGCCCATTCATCATGAAATTTTCACACAGTGTAAAGGACGGCTGGTGTGTTGAAATGATGTAGAAAAATAAAAATCGACAAAAGCGGAGATACATGGTTTTCTTTGGACAGGGACGATATATCAAGATGGCAAATTGTAATAGGCAAAAAACTGCTGTAAACTAGTGCAGCTTCACAGTTTCTATGGTAAGAAACTGGTAAAGAGCTGCAAGAATAATCTATTTTTATGCAAATCGCAATTTAAGTGCGGCCATTTTTTTATAATTATAGCCCATATGATCTAAAACGTATTAAGTTTTAAGAGGGGATATTTAACTTAACAACAGAGCTTGTGAACTACCTGTAGACCAATCAGCAGCAACCAAACCTCCATGTGTTGTCACATCACAGCCACAACTTACTGGATGTCTAGCACACTTTATTTAAGCCTCAAGCCAGAAAAATTGGACCTTCTTGGCAAAAAAAACAGGCCTGAACCTTAATTTATAGAAAGTAATCACAGTTTAAATGACAGTTGCAGTGAGATCTCTTCCCCAAACCGGTTCAGCCCTAATAAGAACAGAATAATAGTCTTACTAATAATAAGCCGAGAGAGTAAAAAGGCAGCAGCTTAAAGGCTTACGGAGATTTTCCCTCACCTTTAAGTGCTACTGCTTAAAATAACGCTGATTATCTACTTACAGTGGTGCTGTGTTTATGTTTAAGTGGTAAAGTCAGCCACCGCCAACTACTACTACTACAAGTGCCTTGTGGTTTTGTCAATCTACGACTCGGCGGGCCGCACCGTGACCCCGATAGTTAGGTGCTGTGTGTGCGCGCGAGTGTGAGAGAGAGATACAGTACTGAGAAGAGGATGTGGTTTCAGGCAGCTCTCTTCATCTGATTTTTCACTATCGCTTCAGTCGGCGCTCGTACCTGCAAGTTCGCACACCCACAGCGGCGCGTTTCGAACGTCTTCTCGCGGCGAGAGGATTTTCTCTGAAAGCACTTAAGTTTTCCATGGCAACAAGAGGCTGAAACAATGCATTATCTTGAGAGCTTGTGCGTCCCGATAAGACGCGCCCGTGTGTGTGTCTACGTAACAAAGACGCTATCGGCTTCATCATAAAGCCCTCGCCACATGAATCACAGTCGATAAGAGACACACACTTAGCATTTCTCCTTCCTCTCTGACGGGCACTTCAATATCCGCTCGTTCCCCGCGCAGTAAATACATCTACACTGGCTTTGAATGCCGTCATTACCCAGCAGGGCTCGTTAGGGATAATTTCAGTGTTTGACTCACTGCGCTTGGTTTCTACTTAGTGCTAAATTGATTGAACTAATTGGTTGAAGGAGCCAAAATTTAAATGACTTTTTTTCTGTTCAGTTTATTAAATACTTACCACGTTGGAAAAAGACTACCCTTATAAGTGGTTTATGAATGGTTTAAAATTAGTTTATTAATGGTTAGTAATTGCATCATAAACACCTTAAAGAGCATTGGTGAACAGT